TGATGGAGTCATCCACTGGGATGAGAATCTCTGGAGGAGATCTGGCCTCAGATCGAATCTGCCGATTCCACAGCCGCCCACAGGAGCGCCGCCTCAACACGGGGTCTCGGCTCTATCGAGCCATGCTAAGCTCCAGCCGCAGCCCCACCCGGCCGCCCGAGGGTGTTCCCGCAGGCAGAGAAGACCAATCCTGGGGGAAGTAACCAGAGAGAGAGAGAGAGAGAGAGAGAGAGAGAGAGAGAGAGAGAGAGAGAGAGAGAGAGAGAGAGAGAGAGAGAGAGAGAGAGAGAGAGAGAGAGAGAGAGAGAGGTCCACACACAGACACCTGCAGTGTAGTAGGCGTACCGAGAGCTTGATTTTGCATGTGCATGTGCAAAGGAAGAGGAGACATCGCTAATTCCAGCACAGCAAACACACACGTCGGTAGTATCTCGGCTACTCAGTGAGCTCCCCCAACCCTCACAGTGACGGCGCGCGTCAATTCTCAGCCTCGGCCACTCTCCACACGAGCGTCAGGCGGCCGCCGTGCGCCCCTTCTGCAGCTCCGCCACCTGGTCGAGCGCGTCGCGGCGCTTGGAGCACTTGGAGCACTTGGAGTGCAGTCATTAACCTCACATCCAGGGCCGGGGAGCTAAGAAGCGCACCCAGCGGGCCGGATGATCGGTATCGGGTTGCGGGCTAGAGAGCCCTAGCCCCGGGGGTGCGCGTTCGCAGGGAAAGGGCCATAAAATAAACACGGGTCTCCGAGGGTTGGCTCTGCGCTCCGGGTTTCCCCTAGAAGCAGCGGAACGCCCCCTCTACTCGGAGCTAGTAGACACCAGACACTAGCACGACAACACACACACACTCCTCACCGACACCACCGCTCGGAACCCCCCGCTCCACACTCGGCCTCCTTACCCCCACTCCGAAGGGGATCCTCCCTCCCCTCGATCCTCCCTCCTATCCGCGCTTTTTCTTATCTTCTTTTCTCTAGGTGAGCCGGTGCGTGTGCAGTCCGCGCCAGTCCGCGCCCTTGTCGTGCCAGTGTT